GATACACTAATGGGATACATTCTAGTAATGTATGATTATATTATACTGGTATAGCATATTCCTCTTAACCTACTGTATATGCTATTATAGTACCTTTGTATTGATGTAACTGGTTGTATTTTTAGTGATATGAGCAATGGAGCCTTAATTGTGCTGCAGTGAATTCTCAGGGATGACTTCTGTGTGTCTTTATGTCCCTCGTAGACAGCCTGGATTCCCATCTCAGTCCAAGTTCTGTTAAATTGTCCTTGCTGTTGCAACACTGAGAACTTTTCTATAAAATGCTGTGGTCATCTTCTCTGATACCAGTAATGCAATATTGCCAGTAGGATGTAGATGAGAAGGGTATAGGTGACTGGAGAAAGCATAGGGTGTCGAGGCCTGTCCTGTCGTAGCATGGGCCCTGGAGAGCACTACCCTGTGCAAAGTTCATCCGGTCTTTCCTCTGCCAGCATCGGCTGGATCACCTCAAATCTGGTGCATTTCTGTGGTGTGTTTCATCACAAAGTAATTCGTATGGCTGAATTCACTCTCAGAGCCACTTCTGTATGATCTGGTTCTGTACGATTTAATGTACACTAAGGAGGAGTATGAATCTTCTTATAATGATATAATACAGTAAAACTTGTTCTTGCAGTTGAAGCCTTACTAACAGGAAGAACAGCCCCTGTATTCCTCCTTGTACTTTTCAGTGACTAAAAATTCTGCTAATCAGTTTGGAATGTACAGTATCACTCCTACGAGACAATGATACATACAACCAATACCATATCTTCCACTTACTATCTGTATAATTCCTTAAGAGTGCATGACATTTTACAGAGGAAAGTATTTAATTCTTTATTCCATAGAGCTTACCATCCTTATTATGCTTAATGCAACAAATACAACACACAGAAGACTTTAATGGTGATAAACAGTGTTGAAACTCGTACTGTGTTTGCTGTTACTTTCTTCTTGGAACTGCGCAGTAAGTCTGGAAATTTGGGTACTTTGAAATGTTCAAAAGCAGTTTGAAGATGACGGGCAGGGACGAATTCTATTTGGTTCCTTACCAAAACCCACCAAAAATCAGTTGGATAACTATCTGTACTTTGTATTAACCAATCTGTAGAGAGAAACCCAGATCAGGAATTTAAAGCTGAGCAAAAGTATTATTCTTGCACTGTGCTCCATTCAGTGTTCAGTAGTCATTGAGAAGGCTAGGAGGAGATAAGAGGGAAGGCTATTTGTAACGTGCTTCCCTCCCCCACTTTTTTTCTTGTACTCTATTGAAAAGACCTGCCAGTTTGACAAATACCATCAGCGAGAAAGGAATTATTATATCTCCAGCCCTCAAGGGTTTCTTATCTCGAAACCAGCCTTTATTATGGTTTTATGGTTTTCCTTTGGCATTAAATCCCACTATTTCTTAAATAAATTTCAAAGTACAGGAAACACTACATATTTGTATATATGTTTGTAAAAATACAAAAAATAATGTGCAATGCTTTCCGAGACCAGATAAAAATTTAGTGTGGGTTTTTTAAAATTGTTTCCTTTACTATCAAAGGCATATGAGCTCAAACATACCATTTCTGTTAACGTGCAATGACTTACAGCAGCAAGAACTTGATTTTAAAGTATAACAGGAAGATTTTGCTGGTTGGTTGTAGTGTTACAATGTTTGCCTTTTATAGCTTTTAAAATGGGAATATATTCTTGAAATAGAAATTGAATTAATGATTGTTGATTGTGTATTTCCAATAAATAATATTGCTCTAAGTCTGAATTTCTTACATAATTCATACACTGTGGAGGCATCAAATGCCAGTGTTACCCTGCAATATGGGGAATACACAACTTTTATATTTAATACTACTTCTACCTTAATCTGAAACTTGTGATCATAAGTAAATGGTGCCCTAGTACTGTGATCTCTTCTGTTGAAACTGTTTCGGGAACATCATCTCTCTAGCATGTATGTACTTCCACCATTCTATTTAAATAGAGAAAATTAAAAAAAAAGAATTGTGAAAGATGAAGTGTATTAATAATACCATAATTTTATGATAATATAATCTTAACGATGATAGTGACAGAAGGTAGAAGTTGAGAAAGAGGCAAGATTTTGGGAATGCATTGGTCCTATAAGACAGTGAACTAAACTTACTGTACTTTTTCTTCAAGCTACCGAATTCATTCAGAGTCTACCACCTGATGTTGAAATTATTGCTGTTTGGATAATCTGGTTACTCTGGTAATAATGTGCTTTTAGTTTCTGTTTCTGATTTATGAAAAGATGTAATTGAGTTACCTGTCACAGCCACATTCTCACTCTGACTCTTTTTATGGGCCCAGGCTGTGATTCTGGGGAAGCCTAAGTCCACCTCGTGGCGTGTGACTGCAGTTTTGCTGTGGCCGTGCTGTCCTGCCCCTCTCATGTGCCGAGCCCACCCTTGGGTGACCTTGCGCTGAGCTGGTTCAGCACGGTATGCTAACAGGAAGCTAACTGGACAAAGTGCTGCTGTGAATAATTTTCTCTATTAGAATTGCCAGAACAGCAGTGCTAGCAGAGATGAACTGTTCTGACAGTGGGAACGAGAACAGGACCAGCGTAGCCTGCAGTTAGAGTGGCTGAGGCTCTGTGTGACACCAGCCTGGAGGACAATTTGTCCCTCTTTGATTTCCGAATACCTGTTTTTGTTGTTTTAAGCTGGGGAGGGAGGAGACGTGTTTGGGTTTCTTGGTTTTTTATTTTTTTATTTTTTAGCCTTAAGCAGACGTCCATGAAATATGTGGTCTGATGGTGATATTCCTTGATTTTTTTTTTAATCATATCTATAGCTTGCATAAATAATTCAAAAATTTAAAATTAAGTAAGTATACCTTATTTAGATGTGGCTGTCATTGGAATGTTACAGGTAAATGAATTCAGTAATATTAGGTAAAAATCAACCTGTGTAAATTTGCAGTAAGACCCTGGAAACATTTAGGTTTCAGATGTGCTCCCCACAGCGTTGCTGTATGCCAGTGACCTTTTCTGACTGTTGGTCTTTATAGGACACTTCTGCTTTTTTGAGGTACTAACTCTGATTGTGCAGCTTCTACAGGCATGTACCCTATTTACTTCTGTATATTATGGAGAGTATGCTGAGCAAATATGTCATTTTTATTGTGTCTTAGTGTCCAAATTCATAGGTTTGCGACTGGTTTAAAAGAAAAATGTGTTATCTTGTTATTCTGGCTTCAAATGACTTAAGGCAGAATGCAAGTACGGCTTCATTCAGAATATCTGAAAGGACAATATAATTATCAAATATGTGAAAATATATATATACATATATAAAGCCACACTTTTATTTGGATTAAACTGGAGATGTCTCTCTCCCTTTAACTCCTTTTCAACTACAGATGTAATCCTTATCTTTGTGTGTAAAACAGAGTTGTTTGGATTTTTTTTTTAAATGAGAAAACTGTGACCCTGTGTCTTATATGAAAGTTTTCCTGAAAGTTTACTCTGCCTGTCTCCAAAACCTGTTATGATGACATATTCCAGAAATGCTTTGCCTGCTCTGTAGAAAAGTACTTTCTTTGCTCCTGTTTAAAGAGATTTCCTTGAAGTGTCAATCTCTAGGTGCTCCCTATTTCTGTTACTGTGGGATTTGAATATTTGAAGTCAGTAAAGTTCAAGTAGAAAAAAATGAAGAAAGGACTAACTGTTCTAAAGAACTAGAATCCCAGTCAGGTCAGAAAAATGAAACCACACCAAAACCACATTTATAAAGGCTCCTGCAGAAGTACTAAAAGAAATATGCTTGAATAGTTAATTTGAATTGAAGATGATGAAAGGAAAATAATTTGTAGTATACTTAAATCAAGATACCCAAAGTAAGACTATAACGGGATGGGCTGCACAGCTGGAGGAGCGGTAGTTTATCATAAAGCACTTATGAAAAGAAATAAGTTTAGTGTTGCAGATGTTCAGTGAAATACATATGAATTGAAATCCTTTGGCTAATTTGAGCGTGTGTAATGTTAGGGCAATATTACTGATCACTTGATGCCAATGATGGCAGTGGTGGTTGTTGTGGGTGTTGAAATGGGCTGTGGAGGCAGAGAACTGTGTAATAAAGGGACACTTCTGTGAGTGTCCTCTGACCTTGATAAATGCCATGATACATAAGTGTTGCTGACAGGTTCTTGGAGCACCTACTCGACAGATGCATCTAAAAGGAGTACCTGTTGATTTATTCTTGAGCAATGTGAATATAGCTTCTCAGAGCTAGTGACTGCAGTGTGCTCAAATCCTGCAGTTTCTAGAAGTGTGAAAGAATCTTTATGCATATTAATCCTTTCTCCAGAGAATCCATAAGTGATTAATTTAAAAGTGGCATCTACCTAAAAATCCAAAGCCTACTTAAAAAGAAATGAAAAGAAGGACCAAAATTTAGAAAATGACATTAATGGAGTGTTTAAAGACTGATTGTATACCACTGATCTGTGAAATACGTTGACACATGCGTATCACTGCCAATAAAGACTCTAAAAGGACCCTATGAAGTCCAAATAAATGACATGTTTAAACAGCAGAATAAAGCAGGTTATTACAAGTAGAAAAAAGCAGCTTAGCTTTCACCTAGCGACAACAGGAAAAAAAAAAAGTCTGTCAAATCCTGCTGATTTTGCAGAACAATTTAAAAAACACCTAGAAACTAATATGAAGAATGGTTTTAAATACATCAGTCAAATTTTGTTTCAGAGTTTCTGAGACCAGTAGGTGATGAAAGAATGTTAAGAACATTTGAAGGTCATGAGGTATAGGTGGTTTGTTTTTACAGTGGAGACAGCAGGGGTTACCTGCACTGATCCCTCTGAGAAAGGAGGATAAATATGCAATAAAGTTAGTTGATACTTAAAATACAAACAAGTGTCTGATAAAATCCATTTGCATATATTTTGCTGAAAACTTTTGGAATTATTTTATATATGTTTTCATATGCTTTTGCTTTGTCTTTCAGCTTGTGATGAATGGAAGATTTTACCAAAACCTAATCTGCATCGAGATGTCAACAGATTTGGTCATACTGCTGTTGTCAGTAATGGGTAAATGAAGCGTATTTCCAATTTTCCTGAATGTTTTTCTGAATGATAAAAACTGTGGCAGAAATTATACCTATGTGAAGTATGGTTCAATGATATACAGCTGATGTAACTTATTAACATAAAAAGTAATGCTCATCGGGGACTTTACTTGTCTTGGGTAATCAGTATAGCTAATTATCAATTTGACATGCTGTGGAATCTATTCAATGGCATTTTATATGAACTTTCTACCGTGCTGAGCTGTTTCCTCAGTATTGGGAACTACACTGAATTTGAAATTCAGTATCAACTATAATCCTCACTTAGATCTAACAGGAGGAATCTTTTTCTCTTTGCAGCATGCTATAATTCCTTGTTCTTCTACAACCATAAAATCAAACCCATGTAACTAAAATTTGCTTAGAAAAAGCAAAATTTTGAAGATACTGATACAGTGATCATCATTAACCGTTTGCAGGAAAAAAAGCCTGCCAGCATCTAGACTATATTAAGTATATTGCTTATCCTCTATAAAATGTAGCATACTGTCATGTCATTTGTTGAGTAAGGGAGCTCAGTAAAGCTTCATCACCTAGAAACAGGAGATGGAACGGATCTAGAGTTTGCTGGATTTGGTGGCTGAACTCTCTGCTTCCCCCACCCCAACCCCCAAAGCTAAACTTGTGGGACAAACATCTCCTTTTTAGTGGGAAAGTTGTAGAAAACTGTAGTCAGGTTTGCTTGTGTCAGTTTTACTATTGCTGGTTGCCAGATGGCCTAATATCTGACAGTTGCAGTACTACATATTCATCACGCTAATAAACTCAGTATTTAAGTATATGCGGGCAACTTACAGATCCTCTACATATTGATATTGTATAGGTCAGAAATAATAGAGGTGATAAGTAATGCTACAAATAAGAGTTTCATCTTAACAAAAATAGCACTAAGTTGTAACTCTGTACACAGAACACTTGAAATTAATCAATGAACAGATTACTTCATTAAGAGAAAATTGCTTAGAATTAATGAATTCAGGAACTGGTGATTTGTGTTGTTTTAAGACATCTAAGCTATGTCTGATACTTCGAGAACTGTCACTTTCAATGAATTAGATTCAAGGTGAAAATGCCTATATTCCCCCCCCCCCCCCCCACCAACTATGAGTAT